TGTCGAACTCCGAATTAGTGAGCTAATTTTAAACTCGCAGCATAAACATCGGAACTAAGTCCACTACTACTCTTTTGAAATCTTTAAACGCAGCTTAAATACTTCTTCTGAAACACGTTGAGAATTTGCATCTACATCATACAAAATTTGCATTCCGGCAGAAAACTGAAATTAGGAGGGAAAGGAGAAAAAAGTCTTTAAAAAAAATATCTTGTTAGAATCAAATAAATCCTTGCAGTGTCTTTACAAAATTCCAACACAATTCCTTTTTTAGGCAAAATTTCAGAAAAATGTAGTTTTTCTGCTTGCATTCTTGACTTCTGTAAATTAATTGATTAGAATTTAAGAAATTTTGAAAACTATGTAAATTCTAAAATTTCCAGAATGGCCAGTTTTTGTGCTTCTGGCATCATAACTTTTATAATTATTATTAAAGTTGAAATGATATGAAAATTTTCACCACTCACTTTTTTAATATTTGTGTATGGTAATTATGTCTTTTAAATTAAAAATTCTCCAAACTATAATTTTCCTGCTTGCGCTCATGATTTCTCTAAAACCGTTGGTCAGAATTTTAAGAGATTTTGATCAATTACAAAAATTCTATGTAAGTAATGTGTGTGTGTGTGATTATGGCAAAGCCTCGAGGGCTACCTGCCTATGAGGAGGGATGCCTTCGTGGAGGACTTTCTAAGGGAAACTGGCTCGTATACACGTTACACATGGGGAAAACCACGAAAACGCCCATGCAGCCAGCCCGTTCGCGGGATTCGAACCTCGGAACGAACTACCAGTGTTCAGCGACTTTACTGCTCGGCCGCTGGTGTGCTCTCTATGTAAGTTAAAAAAAAAACTTGATTAATTACTATGTTTTTTGCATAAAAACTTCAGGAATTATGTTAAAATTTATCTTGAAAAAATACTTGACTTTACTTTCTCAAATTACAAAATTTTATTACTATAGGTATTTAAAAGCTACCAGTTATTATATTTCTGACATGCGAATTACTATAAGTTGAAATCGTACGAAAATTTCCTCTCATCGCTTTCCATTCTCTTATAAAATTATATTCATTATGATTGTAGATACGTGGAAATTTTAACTGATAAATATAATGTCATCTTTCTTTATTACTATTAAGAAAATAAAGCACATTTAGAAAGTTTGAAGGTAATTATAACTTCAAGTTAAAATTTCTCAAAACTATAATTTTCTTGATTGCGTACATGATTTCTCTGAAACGACTGGTCAGAATTTCAAGAAATTTGATTATTTATATAAACACTATATGGATTAAAAAAACTTAATTTATTAGGCTTCTGCCGTTAAAGACCTTAGAAATTGCATTCACTTTTGTGTTAAAAAAAATACATTTTGCTTTCTCAAGTTATAAAATGTTATTAAGAAAATACTATTCGATTGTTCTAAAATAGATTATTTTAATTGTACATTATTTTTCTAATACACAAAAAAGTAGCTACAAATAATTTGTTTATCCAATATGCTGCGCGCAAAGTTTATTACAATTTTTCGCCGATAAAACTATTTTTTCTGTTTAATTTAAAATATTTTGATATCCGAAACATAAAATAAAGTTGGTAAAGGCAATATAAAGGATATCGAAATATGTCTACAAGATTTTACAATCAAAACTTAGTTAAATGTCGAGATATTCTTTTCTAAAGCCTATTACAATTTTTGGCCTATTTGTTAAAGGTTAGATTAGGTTATGTGAACGTGACAAAACCACAAGAGTTATCTGCCTAAGAGTAGGTATGCCTTTGTGGACGTTTTGAGAGAAACTAGCTAGTATTCACGTTACATATGGAGCAAACTACGAAAGACAACTACACAGCCAGCCCGGTTGCCTAGGCTCTAATCCAGTACGAACTATTAATATTCAGTGGTCTTAACTATATAATACACAACAATGTAAATCAAAATAGGCTTACTTACAGCAAACTTTAAAAAATTAATGCTCTGTTATTTAACTATCCACATGAAACCAAAACAAAGCAAACTAAATTTAATTATATTATTGATAAACACCTAAAAAAATCTTTAAAAAAATCAGAACAAATTTTCTTGTTTCAAGAAATAAAAATCTTAAGCATTATCCAAAATTTTGTAATTATCAAATAAAAAAATCTTATATTCAAACTACTGTGGTAATTACTAAGTACGGAGGAAATCTATATCGTCTTCAAACTAAAAGCAAAATTGTAAAATTGTTCTCCACATTGGAAAACCTTAGAAAATGACATTTGGAAACTTTTCCTATCGATTCTCAACAACATTTGGCACTTATTCGTGGTTAGCAACAAAGCTTTCTCGAAAGATAGCAACTAATGGGAAAATGCCAGAAGATTTATAGGAAAATTGAATTTTTTTACCCTTCTGGCGTTAAAAAGAGAATCCACAAATCGTAGTTTGCTTGCTATTTTTTTTAAGTTTCCAGCTTAGATAATTGTATCCATACCTATGCTTCCAATTAGACATTAATTATTTACTTATTTTGTTTGGATCTCATCCAGACTCATTTTCCCTCTGACAAACTCCGATAAATTAAAGTACTTTCATTTCCATTAATGAAGCAATTACGTAGCATTTAAAGAAAGGGTTATCTGTTATTGGCTCGAATGCTATCTTGTTTTCTAAAAGAATACCTACTTTCATCACAGTTCAAAGTAAGGAAAGTTCTAATAAATTCTTATAGATAAAGAATATTTTCCTTTGGATATTCCATCTGGAAAATTTTAACGAACCATATCTCAGAAAACTTACATTTAAGAAATGTATGACAATATATCTGATGTGGTAAACTAGCACTTTTGTGTAGTTTTGTTATTTAAATTGAAATTAATGAATGCTCGTTTTCATATTTCGAGATATAAATTAATTATTATGCACTATTAAATTTTTAATAAAATCTCCTTCCATGTTTAACTTGATACTGACATTTAAATACATTAAAACACTGAACTTAGTTTATTTCGGGATCATTTTAATTGCGTATTATTAAAATAATTATTCTATTAACCACGTAATAGAACTTTTATTAGAAATAAATTAGATGAAACTACAGTCTCCGACAGCTTTCAAAATCTGATTAGAACAGAAACACGTCAATACAGAATTTAAAATTAGGCGAAAAAGTAACTTCATGACAGCTAAATTTTAAATAAAACTATATCAATTTCCCTAGTGCGCAGAGATAGAATTTTATTGATAGAGTCGATAATAGTCTCATCGATTATCAATAGAATCTCTATAGAATTCGCTTAGTTTCCTTTTGTTCTCGAAAGTTGTTCTGTCGAGTACGATCAGACTTAGGACCTCTTCTTCAGAAACAAAATACTTTAGTATAAACATTTTTGCTTCTGAAAACTTATTTACTTCTGCAGAAGAGGCACCTATATCCGATCATTCTCGGAAATGGTATATTCAAAATCTACGCCCAGCTAAGATTGGTTTTACGCTCAGTTTTAAAAGCTTTTCAAATATGTTCCCGTTGTGTGCAGTTTCTTCGTACTTTGTATCATAATCGTTAATCAAAATGTTCCTGAAATTCGCTCAAAACTCATTTGTTTAGCATTAATTGTATGGTTTCGAATTTTAAGACTGCAGATTTTTTTGGTAGTACTTCATCTTAAAAATTCATTTTCATTTACGTTTTTATAGGCATATAAATTGATTTACATAATTTACTTTACTTACATGATTACATTAATTATCATTAAAAGGAAAATCTAGATGAATCACTGATAAGAGAACTCGCAAATATTACTGATTTTTATTGTACTTTTGTACTGTTACAAAATCTTCACAATGATTTCTTTAAGTCAATTAAGGCTCGATTAATAGAGACCTCGGTTGACAAACGCTCGGTTAAATGAAGGCTCTGTTGTACAGTAAAACCTCGGATAATGAAGGTCTCCCTTCCTGAGCAATTCGGTTTATGAACAAACAAACTATCTGAACAAAAAACGTCTCGTATGACGAATGGTGTCTGTTACGAACATTCAAATCAGTAGCGTATGATTTTCAAAAGTATTTTGAGGTAACTTTTCCCCCATAATTAACACACTTTCTGAAAGTGTCATTTAAGGTTTTCTATTGTTTAATTCTCAATAATAAAGCGATTAAGTGACTTGCAGGAACGTATTTTCAACCTGGAAGACATTATGGCCAGACTGGATTACCCGTAGAGATTTTGAAACTTAAGACTTCATAATGAAGACTTTTTCTTTATCTGTGATAATGAGGCTCTGGGAAAAATATGGGCTAGGAAGTTAACAGCGAAAGAGTGGAAAAGTTACTGATAGACCAAAAAAATGAACTCAATAAAATAGAATTCCAGTAACTTCAGAAGCAACATCAAAAGATGATTTCAGTTGAAAAGTCATCAGGAGAATGGGAAGAACAAAAAATTATTTTAATTCTCTAATCTAAAAACTGGGTAGATACGAAGTTTCAAAATAATGATATTACCCTGATGAAGTAGTAGCTAGATACAACATAAGCATTTTCAAAGACAATTAATGCAATGTTTCTCTCAAGAAACATTTAAACCTAGGCAACAAAAAATAACTCAGAACGAATATGACTCGTCATTTCCACTTACTTCTCTTCGTGCAGATAGAGTAAAATTAAATTTATTAATTTTTATTTATGTATTTAATAGCGTATTTATCTTCTTTTTCTTTTTTGTTTTAATGATTTCCATTTTTTTATGTTTGATTAGGATTTTGGGTCATGAATATGGGCCCAAAATACAGTTGTAAAGTCTAAATAAGCAAACACCTATTATCCAGGAACGAATTAATTTATTTTATATTAATTTCTATGGGGATTCTGTTAACGAACTGTCTTCAGAAAGGAAATGAATTCGTGAATCGAAGTTTCACTGCACGTTGAAACTTTGTCTAAATTGATTATTAACCTACATTTCCATATAACAATTCGAACTGCTCATAAATATTTTTTCTTCTTCTTTTAGGAACTACAGTTGAGCAAGTGAAGTTGAGCGTCCAGATGACTCCATCAAGGGAACAGACAACTGAAACTGACAAGGATAGTCTGGCTTCTCTGTGATGATCAAAGTTCTAACTAAAAAAAAAAAACCAATTTCGTTTCTAACTTTTTGTGCGTTATACAAACTGAAAATAAATCACTTTTTTTGCCAAGATATATTATTTCTAAGTAGAAACACTCAAGATTTACGCACTCAATTCTCTCTTAAAATGTACATACTGTACTTAATCTAATGAAAAGTATTATCTTCAAACTTTGAGTTACGGTCACATGGCGTCAAAAGTTCTGCAATGATTCACAAAACAATTGCATGTAAAGAATATTACAGTACAGCATATTTGAAAGCTAAAATTTTTTAATGTAATATAATGTGTAAGACAGCAAGGATGCTTTGAAAGAAATGACTTGTAAATATCAATTTTATGGCAAGGAGATGAATTGTGAATTTTACGATACTGTAAATAGCAACAGAATATTGTATCTGTGCTTCATAGTTTTGAAATTTTAAAGTGACTTTCTTCATCAAAAGTGTTATTTTACTACAACTGGAAAAAAAAAAAGGTAAAACTGCCACTGCAGAGGCAAGGCCAAGCATATCATTTAGACTTTCTTAAAGCAGCCACTGAAGTCTTCATAAAAGTTGTGCAACAAGTTGAGCAAAGAGCGAACAAAAAAAAAAAAAAAAAAAAAAAAGTTTTGTGAAATATAATCAAGAATGTGTTCTAACTCTAATTTCGATATAATTCTCGGGCTTCCCTAACCAACAAAGACCGTTAACGTTGTATTTTGTGTTGTCACTGTTTCAAAAAGTAGCTTAGTTTCCAAGTTCGAACAATACGAGTACGTATACATAAGTATAACAAAGTTTCTGTGTCGACGTATCTAGGGAAATAGGCCACTTGACGAAACAACATAATGAAGTTTCTCAAGTGTTTAGTTTTCCCGACTATCAAGCCCAATGTCATAGATTTATGTCTCTAGGCATGTATGTTTATTGTCATGTGTTAAGTGAGAACTGTTGATAGTGTAGGTGCATACAACGTATTGCATGTTTAGCTGTTCGTTTATGTTCCAATGGCAATAATGTTATAAATGCTCGAGAGAGACGGTATTTAGGTGTGCACAAAATAATTCTTCCACATTGTCACTTAACTAATAGATTTCACTTAAACATTAATTTGCTAAGTTATAGCTTTCTTAACCAGAAAAGTAATGTTTAACAAGTAACTGATTAAAAGCACAAAATAGTACTAGTTCGTAATCATCCTGTTGTGGAAATATTTTTCGTCATAATTCTTTAAACGAAAAAAACAAAAAACAAAAAAAAACGCACATTGCTTGATTGATTATTTTAATATAAATTGCATAACCTTTAGACAATAGTCACATTTTATCTTCAAATATATACAATTTTAATTAATATTAGAGTTATAAAAAAACTTGGGTTTATTTTTAATTTTAATTTATTTATGACTATTTAATTAATTAAAAATACTGCTTAAATTTAGAAATAAATTAATTTAATTATTTTATAATACTTTATTTAATTGATTACCTAAATTTACAAATTAATTTAATTTATCTCTATGATAATTATATTTCGTTTAAGGTCGTCAATTAATAATTCATAGCCATTATTATAAGATATTAATCTGTGCGAATGATTAATTTGCTCCTTTTGAATTTATAAAATCATAAACGAAAACGCTTGATTTTACAAATACACCTATACATCTGAGGATTATAGAAAGAAAAATAACTAGTGATTTTAGCTTAAATGCTTGTAACCGTAAAACAAATTTCGATTTAAAATTGTTATTTAATTTGACTAATATTTAAAATAAATATTATATTATTTTGCATTAAAATCTTAGAAACTTTTTGTTTATATTCGCTATATTTTTTAATTTAATTACTTTTCCTTATACATCTTAGTTTTATTTAATTTTAAAGGGAGAGAAACATTGATTTAGATGTTTTATACTTTTTAATTTCACAATTAATTTCTCAACTGTGAAACTTTTAAATCATGTTAAAATCGTCGATTTGCTGTTCTTAGTAAATCTACAAAAAGCAATGTCGTTTGATTTTTTGGATAAAAAACTTTTGTTCCAAATCTAAATATTGCATTTATGTTAAATTTCGTAAAATTTGAATAATTCCTTTTCACCATAAATTCTTTAGAATTTTGGCCTCTTTTATCCTGGGGGTGGGGTTGTTTGTTTAGAGCATTTAATGCAAAATTTCTTATATGTTATTAATAAATAAAAAAAAGCATTTCTATTAACAAAAAACATTTGTGCACATCTTAATACATTACATACCAAACTGCTGAATTTACTTTGAAACTAGATGTAGGCTATGAATTTAAAATTCATTTTCTACGGAATTCAGTCCTGAGAGGCAAGAAGAAAATTATGTTTATTTTTATTTAAATTGTAATTATAGGTTTTAATTTGAAATTTTCTTACAAAACTCTACACAGTACTTACTAATAGTACCTCTTGCAGACGGCCATTTGTAAATAAAATGGGGCTCATTTACTGATGGTTTCCAACAAGAGGTGCAAAACTTTATTTTCCTTATATCAGTATGTGCTTTAATCAACAGATGGCGCCACTAGCACAGTACTGAATTCACCGTCACTGCAAGCCATTCACCGTTCTTCCATGCTTTGTGTAGATGGCAAAACTTACGCGTTTGTTAAAGAATTCTAGAATTCAGTTAGTTATAAAACGAGCGTCCAGTCTTTATTTGTTCTAGAGAGGCATTAGTTAATTATTGTATATAGAATTATATTACTTAAACAAATGTGTACATGATTTGTACAGATGTTAATCCATTTGCTGTTGTTTTGTTATGCACAGGAGTAAAATGTAGTGTTTATTCGTAAATCACCAATAGAAGAAAGAAATCTCAGTCGTATTTATTTATTCTAACTGATTTGCTCAGATTGTTAATAATGTTAATTATACTTTACATTATTTCCCAAACTAGATCCAGCTGAGTAGAATAGCTGCTATGGTGTTTTAAACCCCATCTATTTTTAAATTTATTTTTTAAAGCAAAAAAAATCAGTTGTGTATTTTTATTTATGCTTTAAATAAAAATGTAGGCGAATTCTTTGCTTGAATGAATGAATAAATAAATAAAAATGTTTGTCTGTGTGTATTTTGTATTTTATGAAATGTAATTAATTTAACACGCATTTTTAACCTCTTATATAACATTTTAATAGTATTTTGTTACACTTTAATTGCATTTAATATGAAAACTGAATAACCTTACTAGACTGGCAGACGAATTTGTCCCTTTTTAAAGTTAAATTGCACAAGACCTCACCGGAGGCCTAACTAAGAGAAATCTGACACTTACATAAGCAACTTACATAATGTAGCCTATCTTTTCCTGAAAAAAAATCCTTAAATGGATGTTGAGATTTTTAAGGAAAAATATTTATTCCTCATCTACATATAAAATGCTTATTGTGTAGAAAGTGCAATGAATCTATGAGAACTTGTTTTTAAAAACAGTAAATCTTTCTTTCCCGAAAGTATTAGAAATTATCACCTTCGTCGTGCTGTTATATCCACAGATTCAGTATCGGCGGTTTCATTCACTTGCGAACAGAATACTACAGAACAGGGAAGAAGAACTGTTATTTGTGTTTCTAAATGTGCTTTAAGTTAACAATAGGCTTAGCATAGCGAAATACTAAGACACAAGGCTCAAACATCTCCAACGCTAGTGACTTTCTACGGAAAAGAGCTTTTGCGGACTTAATGGAACGATGTAACTAAATATCGGGGTGAAAAACGTTACGATTGCTTTCAGTTTACAGAACAAGCCTCGGATTAGAATTTTTTTTTTCCTCTGTCACATTCTAATTTATATTCTAATCTAGCTATAGCTAGAAGTATTTCAAAAGTGTTAGAAACCCTTCCGTTATTTTTCATACCTACATTTCTATTAAAACTTTCGTTGATATTCTCATACCATTTCTAGCATTCTCTCTATTCTCTTTAACCGTCTTACATTTTTTCATTGGTGTGCTATGGGGGATTTATTTATTTATTTATTTGTTTCTATCATCCTTTGAAACAGTGTATTATACTGCACATTCAGGGGTTAAATTCAGTCAGAACCCGGCTCCACAGTTTTTTAGTTTTTGAATCAAGCTGTAGTTTCAGCCGGAGCCCCAAATAAGACGTGATCCAATATTTTATTTCATTATTTAACTATTTACCATTCATCTAATCATTTATTACATTTTCATTTATATCTTTACATTTTATTGATTTTTTATTTAATTATTTTATTAGTTATTTCATTTATTTATTTTTTGCTTCTCTTTCTTGAAGGCTTTCCATTAAATCTCGAGCAGTTCAAATTTTAGAAAATTAAGCCCTAATTCAGACTTATAGCATCTAGCATGGCGTATTTCAGCTTGAAATTACAACTAAAGTAATTAACAAAAAGTGAACTTCTGCCCGCTTGCGGCCTAGTAACGCAATAGTAGTTAAGTTATTTTCAGATCGAGTATTACGAACTAAACGTTATTTTTTCTGTAATCATTTCATGTGCAACAAAAAGAACCAACTCATAAATAATCAGCGCAACACTCCAAAAGGTTGAGTGAGTATTTGAAGCGTTCTGGACTTAAATTTTCAAAACTTTCTCTCTAAGATTTTCATTTATTGTTTAAACTCACTTATTTATGAGAACTGCATTTTAGAGTTTACCCTGTGCGGGATATTCGTAATGAAATATATTTCTTGTGGGCTACGAGAATTTACGCTATCCTTAAGGCCTCTCTATGTTTATTTTGTCGCATGCCGTTATTTTTTTCAATAAATCATTAATTTCTTCCTGGTCATTTGGCATAGTTATTAAATAGATCTCCCGTAATTCGCACAGTAATGGATTTTATGTAAACTGCAAAAGAAAAATCCATCTGGCAAGAAACGACATGCTTTTAGTCCGATAAAGAAACGTTACTGGGCTCTATGAAATTCACTTCACCTCCAGACTGGTATTCTCAGCTGCAAACAAGAAGCGGAGTATGGGAAGAGTTTAAGATAGCAATTCATTTTATGAAGTCCTGGTGTTCTTACTACTCTCAAAGCTTAATGGTAAATCTACCGTAAAGGAAATGCTCCATTAAGTTGTTGCTTTTGGTTCAATTTAATACTTTCGTCAAGAGTAGCCAACACCTATTACTCATTTAGCCATCACGGACAGTATACCTTAAGAGGCTAGGGAGGCAAGGGATTTTACAACCACAAAAACAGCGGAATTCCGTTCCAATTTCGATGGACATTCTATAAAATTTGTGAACATTTCATATGGAGTAGGACTAAAGCAGCTGTAGAAAAACTGGACAAAACCTATGATGCATCTGGAGGTCGCAAAGGCGTACACAAGGGAAATTACAACGTTAACAATATTACAAAGATTTTGTCCGAATCTTCCAGAAAATCTTGCAGTCGTGTATAAGTATATATTCGACATTCAGTATTTAGTTAATTTTAAGAGTTATTAAAAGTTCGGTTCAAAGATTTAATCGAGTTGTGTTTACCCTGTGAGTAGCACTAGTAATCTGCAATATATTTTGTGTGTGCTTTATCTATTTTTCTTCTTGAACTATTTATTTCTGTATTCTTCCTAACTAGAAAGCTGCTTATTTTGCTGTGCTGTGTGAACATAGATTTTCAGAAATCCGTGGCTCTTAGCACATCAGCTTTCTAGAATAACAAGTAATTTCCCAAACGATGGGCCCATACATTGAGGACCTCGAGTTGGGCCCATTATGTTTAAGATGACACATTGCAGAATAGTGATTCATCAGTGCATTGATTGCAACTTATGAAAAAGAGAATGACTTTTATTAATTAAAAAATTATCTTACTGTAGTTTAGAACAAAAGAATAATTTTCTACTACTATAACGATTAAAAGTATTGGTTTCCCTCGCTTTACAAGAAGACAGATTTCCTATGAAGCTTTTCATAAGCCAAAATGGAGTAAAGCAAAGAAATAGGTAGTATCGTTATGTTACATGGGAAATGTCTCTGAATGTGGCTTAAGAAAAGTTTGTCAAATAATGCCAAACATTTCTTGAAACTTAAAATAACTTTAAAAGACACTGTGATATGATAAATTCATAAATATTTTAATTAGAATGAATATACGTACAATGTAATTTCATCTTAGAAAACTAAAAAGACGTTGAGCACATTAGAAGACTTAAAGATAATCACAGTGACAATAACGCGTCAAAAATGTTGCAGCGCGAGAGACAATGCAAGAAACAGAAAGGACAGAGATAATTCTATTAATGTACTGATTACTTGCCTTTGTCATCGGATCACTGTGCATGCAAATGCACATGTGTCAGCGGACAAATAGAAATTGTCCGCATTCAAAACATTGAAAGCTGGAAGTCAAAATTTATTGGGCTCCATTTAAAGAGGAAGACTTGAACTAAGCTGGTATATTTGACTGCTACGATTAACATATTTCCTCCAGGATCCAAGTTGAATGCACACTAACTCTGATAAAGTTCTCTATGATGCATTTCCCCTCTTAAAAGTTAGCACTAGAGTTCTTTGCAAAAACTAGTATACTAACTAACCAAACAAACGGAACTCACATAGTAATATCTTGAATATCATTGATGTAAAGAAGTGAAGGATGTATTGTAATGGCGAAAATTTTCGGGTATCATATTTCAATTTTCTAATCATATTCAATCCATTTTGACCACTTCCTAATCCATTTCGATAATTTTTTGAATGACATTTGTATGTACGAAGAGAATAAAAGCCTCTCTTTTACAAAATAGATTGTAATATGGATTAAAAATGAATTTTTTCGTGACGTCTACAAGTACATACTTGCATAACTATATATCTCTCACAACTCAAAAATGATCAACCGTATAACGTTGAAATTTTATACACGCGACTACTATAATATCCATTTGCGTATTTCTCTTTTTTATTCCAATTAAGCAATACTAAAAGTGCATACATATATATATTTAAGGACGCTTATATACTATATATATATATATATTTAAGGGCGCTTATATACTATATATATATATATATATATATATATATAAGCATCCTTAAATAACGAAAATATTTATGTATTGGCAATGTTGTAACTTTTAATACTGTCTGACAATTCCTATAATTATACTTAAAGAAGTTTTATATTCGTTATGAAAAAATAAAAACACCAGAAACTTGACTCCCGTACGACAAAAAGGTGGCAGAGCTATTTAATTTCAAAATGGGCAGTTTTTGATTTCATTTTCAACTTTCCTTGCGGAATCGATTAGTTAAATTAGAATAATTCGAGGAAATAAGTTTAAATGAATGCTATTAAAAACTGTGTATAATTTAAAAGGCAGTAGAAAAAAGTCATATGGTGTCCATATCAGAGTTTTTTATCAAAATAAATATAAAATTATAAAATGTAATTAGAATGATGATCCAGACGCTAAGGTAAAATTAACTCTTATTATTATAACTTTAATAAAAGCTCGACCAAACGTATTAAATTAATTGTTCTTTTCTCACGGCACTTTACTTCTGCTTTCTTCATGTGTGTTTCTGCAGTAACAAGTTGGTCACTGTAAGACTTTTCTGTTGAGTAGTCAGAATAGAGAATCTCCCAAATAAATATATACCCAAACTGAAATGAAAAACATGATAATTTGATGTAATTAATGTGATGAGGGAAATCCTTCTTTTTTAGCTGTATTTTATTATTTCTAAGGTAGTAGCAATGAAGAAAACCTCCTTAATGATTACGCTTTCCCACCTCCGAGACAACATGTTAATGAATAAAATGTGATGTTACAGTACATAGAAGCGGGATAATACCAAAATTAAGAGATTTTGTTCAAGAATCGTATGCAAAGTAAACTATCATTAACATTTGCCATGACGGAATGTCAACTTGAACTAATTTCTTCTCTTCCAAGACAGAAAAATCCTGCTTTACTTATTAAAAATGTTCCAAATGAAATTGATGATAAAGATGTATTAACTGTTCTCTTTGATCAAAATCCTGACATTTTTTATGGTAATGAATGTATTAATGACAAGAAATTCTGTTTCACTCTTAAAAAATTCCAAAACTCAAAGC